AAATTCAGAAGGAAAGCCCTATGCAAACATTCCAGATTGGCAGGAGGCAGGGACATATAAGGAACAGTATTTTATTAGGAATAGAAGAAATGAACTTCTTGATACCAAACCTACAAACGTCCCTGCATCTCCTCTTGCCACAAGGGTACAGATAGTCCTCTCCCCTCTCACTTCCCAGCATTTGTGCTTTGGACCTCCTTCTCTCAGGCCTTGTGTGGAGTTTTAAACCACTAAACATCTCCTCTCCCCTTGTATCTTCAGACTCTGCCCCTCTACTGTCTCCTTCTCTTAAACACTAAACATGCAAATGTCTCTCCCATCTAAAATGAAAAACTTCTCTCTCTAATCTATACTATTCCTCCAGGTATCATTTCTCATCACAGATGAACCATTTTAAAGAGTTGACTATATACCATTTCCCACTTCCTACCTTCAAAGTCACTTCTCGATCTGAAACATTCTTGCTTCCTAGCCCATTACTCAGCTTTATAAGTCATTGATGGCCTTTCCCCAAATCCTAAAAGGACATATATGTTCTGATTACTTTACCTTGCAGTCACCGTTGTCACTACTGACCTTTCTTCTTCCTTCTCGAAACCCTCACTTATTCTTGTTTTCTATTATGCTACACTCTCCTGATTTTCCTCCTACCTTTTTAGCTGAGCCTGTGTCTCTCTTTGTTTTGTTTTTTTGTTTTTTGTTTTTGTTTTTGAGACAGTCTTACTCTGTCACCCAGGCTGGAGTACAGTGGCATGATCTTGGCTCACTGCAACCTCTGTCTCCCAAGTTCAAGTGATTCATCTGCCTCAGCCTCCTGAGTAGCTGGGATTACAGGTGCCTGCCACCAGTGCCTGGCTTATTTTGCATTTTTAGTGGAGACAGGGTTTCATCATGTTGGCCAGGCTGGTCTCGAACTCCTGACCTCAAGTGATCCACCCGCCTCAGCCTCCCAAAGTGCTGGGATTACAGGCATGAGCCACCATGCCTGGCCACTTTCTTTCTCCTTTACAGCCTCTTCTTCCTCCTTATTCCTTGGATGTTAATATTGCAAGGTTTCTGTACAAGGCTCATTTTCCTCCCCACTCATGGGTAATACCACTCAACTCTCTCTCTCTCTCTCTCTCTCTTTTTTTAGAGATGAGGTCTCACTATGTTGCTCAGGCTGGGTTCAAACACCTGGGTTCAAGTGATCCTCCCACCTCAGCCTCCTGAGTAGTTGTTACTATAGACACGCACCACTGCACCCAGCTTCATTTCTCTCTTCTTTAAACATCAGACCCATGTAACAAGCTGCCTGCTCAACATCTCCACTTGGATGGCATGTATTTCAGTTTCAGCACACCTAAACAGCTGAACTCTTCACCAAATCCTACCACTTCTACTTCAAGCTTATATCCCTCAAATCCTTCCGCTTCTCTTCCTCCCCACTGATGATACACTAATTCAAGTAACCATTCTCTACTCCTTACCGCAAGAGCCTTCTAAGTGCTCCTCTATTTCTGGACTTATTCCTGTTCCATCCATTATCTATTCTATAGAACTAGAGTGATATGGCTATGGTTGTAAACCTAAAATAAAATTGTAAGGTCCCCCAACCATCTGAATGGACTTCCTCCTTGGCCAGGGCACTCTTAAAATTTAACCTGAAAGACTGCTTCAGGCCATGACAGGAAGTGGGAGTGGGACTTGCCTCATTATACTCTCCAGTGTTAACATCAACACAGTCCTTAAATCTGATAAGAAGCATTTACAATCTATTCTCTCTGAAGCCTGTTACAGGCCTCATCTGCATAATAAGAAATTTGCTTTCCATAATCACTTATCTTAATCCAGACAGTTCTTTTCTATTGATCCCAGGTCTTTAGATAAAGTCAACCAACTGCCAATCAGAAAATTTTAAAATCTATCTATAATCTGGAAGCCCCCGCTTTGAGCAGTCTTGTCTGTCTAGACTGAACCAATGTATTTCTTATATGTATTTAATTGAAGTCTTGTGTCTCCCTAAGATGTATAAAAGCAAGCTGCACCCTGACCACCTTGGGAACATGTTCTCAGGACCTCCCGAAGGCTGTGTTAAGGGCCATGGTCACTTATATTTGGCTCAAAATAAATCTTTTCTAATTTTGTACAGAGTTTTACTCTTTTCTTTGACAAGATATAAACAAACAGTATTACTCTCCTGCTTAAAAATATAACTGCATTGTATTCTCTTTATAATTAAATTCAAATTCACAGTTTACAAATCCAGCCTCATTCCCTAATCACTCTATCACCCCAATTTCCAACATAATGAATTTCTTTCTTTTCTTCCCATGTGCTATACTCTCTCTGCCTTTCACCTCTAGGTCACCGCACATGGTATGGTTGATCTAAAAGATCCCCCTTCTCTCTCTCTCCATGCCTTTCTGGCCAACTCTTGTATCTACTTAATGCCTTGGCTTAGCTATCAGTTCTTCCAGGTGAAATGTATTTGGCATGTGCCTATATGGGACTCTGCATATCCCCTTCAAATACTTCTTTCTCACTGCTTACTTCATTATTTGTTTTCCCCATAGACTGTTATCAGCAAGAGGATAGGGATGTGTGTGTGTTTTATTCACTGGTGTGTCCATAGTATCAAGCATAGTATCTGGCCCATACAAGACACTCAGTAAGTATTTATTGAGATAATGCAATAAACTTTACTAGGTTTGCATGGAGAAATATGCTCAAAGCCTATGAATAAATGAAACTTTAAAAGATACCACAATGTGGTAGAAATACAAAGGAATATAAAGGTATGAACATTACTTCTTCCAGGCAAAAAAAAAAAGAAAAAATCTATTTGATTAGTTCAGTATCTGTTGAGCACTGTATCAGGTCACTGTTTCTCATGAATATGCTTTTCCAGCGCAAGAAAATGAAGATAAACTCATTTCACTAACTGCTTATTTGTAATTTATTCCCCTCTTGTTCTGGGGAGATTTGAGTTTGATGAGTAGCTGTTATTTTGGAACAAAATTGGCCTATTACAAGATTAACCTATTACATAAAAGATGCCAATCAGATTATTATCTCCCATTCCCAATCCCTTCAAGAGGAGAAGTGAGGGTTTGAAGAAGCTATAATGGCATGCCAACGCTTATAATTACCTATGTGGTGGTCTAACATTGACAACTTGATAGCCCACTTTGTAGAAAGCAATCTTAAAACTAGTTCAACAATCAGAGAGTCAAGAAAAAGTGCCAACCTCATTGGCCACTTCAAGACGAGAAAATTATCTGCTATGAACGAATTGTATCCTCTCCTAAATTTATTTATTTATTTATTTATTTTTTTGAGATGAAGTTTTGCTCTTATTGCCCAAACTGGAGCACAATGGCCTGGTCTTGGCTCACTGCAACCTCTGCTTCCCAGGTTCAAGAAATTCTCCTGCCTTAACCTCCCAAGTAGCTGGGATTATAGGTATGTGCCACCACGCCTGGCCAATTTTTGTATTTTTAGTAGAGACGGGGTTTCACCATGTTGGTCAGGCTTGTCTCGAACTCCTGACCTCAGGTGATCCACCCGCCTTGTCCTCCCAAAGTGCTAGGATTACAGGCTACCTGGGGTGAGCTACCACATCCAGCCCTCTCCCAAATTCATATATTGAAATGAAGGGTTGCGTTTTTAAATAAATTCCTGATTTGAGGGGGTGGGCATTACCAATGTGATGGTAGTTGGAGATGGGGTCTTTGGGAAATCCTTAGGTTTAGATGAGATCATGAAAGTGGGACCCTCATGATGGGACTAGTTCCCTTGTAAGCAGAGACACAAACAGCTTGCTCTCCCCAATATGTAAGGACACAGCGAAAAGGTGACTGTCTACAAGTCAGGAAGACAGCCCTCACCAGAAACTGATCATGCTGGTACTTATCTTGTACTTCTAGCCTCCAGAATTGTGAAAAATAAAATTCTGCTATTTAAGCCACCTATTCTATGGTATTTCGTTATGGCATCCCAAGCCATTATAGAATCATACTTACAGTTGGAGATTCCACACACTGGTTCCAATTCCAGTTGAACTCAACAGTAGTATATTTAAGTTAAATTACATTAGTGCTGGTTTTTAAGGGTCTTTTAAAAAGTGCTACCTTCCAGAAAATTTTAGAAAATGAAAAAATAAAAAGGAAGCATGAAACCATAAACAGGCCTATTGAAACGCATCATCAAGCCAGTAAAAATGGAATAAAAGATACTTACCACCACCAAGAATGTAAGAATCCTGGTGGTTCCCCCAATGTGATGTTTTTTTCCCATCTTATCTAAAATGAATAAAAGAGATATTACTTTCCTAATAATACTTTTTTCCACACATATTACAAAGCAATAATATTTCCATTTAAAATACTATGGTAATATTTGAATTTTTCATCATTTTCATATTATTTTTTACCCAAGTTTTCCAAGTACTCATTTTACATAGTGAGTTGTTGACTGGATTAGTCTCAGAGAGAAGTCACCATTATTTTCCTGAATTTGTTTCATACTGTGCCAGTTGTAAACTCCAGTCTTTCAGTTTCAAATTCATCTTTCTGTGGTCTTTCAGATGCTGAGACTGGAGATCCATACACTACCTTTGTCCTTCATTAAATGGCTTCCTGTTAGGTCCCATAAACTAAGAGAGGCTCTAGAGAGAGGCTGGAAGTAAGAAGAGGGGAGAATGGATTTGTTTCCTGTTAGCTTACTATTCCTGTCAGGGTGACCCCAGTTGCAGTTCATCCAGTGATAATAACTGTGACAATAGCTGGTTCCATTCTAGCTTTATCCCACACAACCAGAACCAGTCTCTCTGTGCCGCTCAGAAGTATCAGCACAGCTGGGCAATATCTCTCTTCAGAAGTTAAAGGTAAATTTCAGCTCTTCAAGTACCAGCAGTCCCACACCTCCCTCTCCTTAGAGGTCTAAGATTCAGCTCTCTGAGGTTTCTCCTCCCATTTTTTTGATAACCGCAAGCTCTTCCTTTTGGTGCCTCAGCCCTAGTGATTGCTCATTGCAATTATTGATTTTATGTAACTTCTGTGTGCTGTTGTTGCTTTCTTTTAAATCTGTTTAGCTATTTCCATATATTACATTCCCTGTTGAAATTTTCAGTATGCTTTTAATTGGTGTGGCTGTATTCTGATTGATACATCACTTCAAATGCCCTCTCATAAAATAATAAAAACATCTTCATTTTAAGCAGAATGGGACATGGGCATAAACTTTAACTTTCTAACATACTAGCTGTGTGAAGTTGGGAGAGTTACCTAAGTCTTCTGTGCCTCAGTTTCCTCATCTATAAAATATGGTTAGTAATAGTCACCTATATCACAAGGTTGTTGTGAGGAAAAAACTGGTTAGTACATGAAAATCACTTAAAAGAGTAACTGACAGGCCGGGCTCAGTGGCCCAGCTACTCCGGAGGCTGAGGCGGGAGAATCACTTGAACTCGGGAGGCGGAGGTTGCAGTGAGCCAAGATTGCACCACTGTATTCCAGCCTGACAGAGCAAAATTCCGTCTTGGGGCGGTGAGGGGTGGGGGCGTGGGGAGTGGGAAGAAAGAGTAACTGACATGCAGGAAGTGCCTGGTAACTGTGAGGTACTAATTTTTTTTTTCTTTTACCTAGGAGGGTATTCCTGTAAAACTTCATTACATCATCATTGTCACCAGCACCCACAAAATTCCAGTGATCCACATAAAAATATTCAAAGTATTTAGGGTTGTGCCAAACAATTTTAACTTACTAATCAGAATAGTTTTCATCTTGCTGGAAACCATACATATAACTAGGAAAAAGGAACAATCAGAGTTGCAACTAAGGAACAATTGTCTATGCTCCTAGTATAAATGGAAAAAGTAAAAATGAATCATTTAAACAGAAAATTAAGCTTCTATTTAAAGTCATTTCAGAATTGGTGTCCTGTTACACTGAGTTATCATGTATACCAAATTCAGATCACCATTAAAATCCCATAATGAAGATAACTCAATTTTGAGGTTTTTCTTTTCTTTCTTTCTGTTTCTTTTATTGAATCAGAAGGTATTTCAGGATCTTAACACACATCAAAACCACCATTATTAAATAGGAACATCAGTTATCGCCACTCACCCAGAAATTTGCAAGAGATTAGGCTTAATATGTTGACTTCAAATTATATCTTAAGGGTTGAGTTTTTAAATACATTCCTGATTTGAGGATGTAGGCAGAAGACCACATGGGTCTCTCATAAAATAAGAGTTTCTAAAAGATGCTGACATTAACTTTCTAATTGTTTCCTTTTCAGCTAAGTTAGAGTTTACTATAATAAAAATTTAAAACAAGATCAACATCTCTAAAAAAGTAAAAGTTCTGACTAAATACTTTTGGATGAGTGTCTGGTTAAGTATTCATACAGTGCCTTTTCTAAGCACTGGATAGCAGTAAACACAAAAGACAGAAATCCCTTCCTTCAGGGAGATTACACCTTAGTAAGGAAGATAGACCATGAACAAAGAAACAAATAAAAAAGTAAATTGTGTTTATATGAGAAGGTGACAAATGCAGTGAAGGAAAACTAAGCAGAGAAGGGGGATAAAAATAGCAGGAAAACAATGAAGTGGAATTACAACCTTAAATAAGGAGATCCAGAAAGACCTCAAAAAAAAACCTCTGTATATAAGTATATGCCTTGGTTTTTTTTTTTAGCTTAAATAATAAAAATTATGTAACAAGACCCCAATCAGTAAAATATGCCCAGAGGCCCTTAATACTACTAAGAAATGAACAACTGTAATTACAGATTTCAAAAAAATGCAAGGAATTCTTTCCATCATCTACTGTGTAAGAAGTTAGGAATTCTTATCCCAAAAGGACTTTTTAAAGAAGTTTTAAAACAGGAACTCGGAAAGTGGTCCTAAATATAGAAACAACCAAAAATCCTCTTTAATAAAAAGATGAAAAAAGTTAAGTGCCATTAAAATCACTGAAATTGGTTGGATTTTTAGAGTTCTTAAGTACATAAAGTATAAATAAATGGGAACCTTGAAGTAAAACAAGTAATTTGTTCTCAAAAAATAGAGAGAAATTTTTTGAAGATTAGAAATGTGGCCAGGACGGTAGCTCATACCTGTAATCCCAGCACTTTGGGAGGTTAAGGTGGGTGGATCACTTGAGGTCAGGAGTTCGAGATCAGCCTGGCCAACATGGTGAAACCCCGCAACTACTAAAAATACAAAAATTAGCCAGGCATGGTGGTGTGTGCCTGTAGTCCCAGCTACTCAGGAGGCGGAGGCAGAAGAATCACTTGAACCCGGGAGGCGGAGATTGCAGTGAGCCGAGATAGCACCATGGCACTCCAGCCTGGGCGACAGAGTAAGACTCTGTCTTTAAAAAAAAAAAAAAGTTAATAATAATAATGATAATAATGTAATAGCCATTTTGAAGCACTAAAAGGAAAAATTCCAAGAATTAATGAACTTGAAGTTAGAAAGCTACCTATGAACAATAAACCAGAACATATCATATAAATGTAAGCCGGATCCTAATTTTAATTATCCTAAATGGTAACACAAATAATTTGTATATCTATGCCACCATTTATCTGATAATTTCAGTTCTTCAACATTTTATATTACCTTGGTTCATAAAAAATAAGAAATAGTACTTAATGAGATTTATGAGAAACAAAACTCTGATGTCCTGCTAAAATTATAATTTAGCCAAAAACCTATGTCTCATCCTTCTATCACTTTTCTCTTACCACTTTTTCACTAGTTGGTATCTTCTTGAAAGAACATAAGAATAAACCCTCACCGATGTACCCAAACACACTAATATTCCTAATCACTAGAACCATCATAATCATATGACCAGCAAATTTTTCAAGGTACTGTCCTTATATTTCACCTCAGTTCATCTTGACTTTACATAATATGGCTGTGAAACAAACAGATTTTACTATACTCAGTTAAAAGAAGAACATGACATGACTTATGGAGGAGTGAAAATGGTATGACTAGGTTTCAATGCTAGGGTGTGCTGCAGGTAGGATTAGACTCACAGTCTATGAGACCCACTGCCCCTCATCCTTACTAAGCAGCTTCCCCTCACGCACTTCCACAACTTCCACAGTCCATTTCCAGCTATCTTGGGAGATAAAGGACTATAGGAAACTACCTATATGGCTTATATTTGATATGATCTTTTATGAGAAGAAGCCTGAGGTAATACATTTGTGTTTTAAATAGTTTTACATCTTATTATTCCTCAGAGAAACTAAAAAAGCATCACATAGATCATCATTTTATGCTCACAATATTTTTTACTACATAGTATTCATCCTCCTGTCCTCAAATTGCAAGTCTGTGCCAGAAGCAGGTAAAACTTCGGTCCATCATACTGAAGTTAACATAAAATCCACTCTTTTATAGTTATTGAATGAACCACACTCAAAGCTGTGTTTTAGGTAGGTCCACAGAAGAGACGGTCTGTGTTTACACAGTGAATATTGCTAAGTCCAAATGGATCACTATTCTAGATACTACTTGCTTATAGAAAAAATAAAATGGTGCTCAAGAAGAGTCGAAATAGAATCCTGACCTGTAGAAAACTAAACCACATTCGCTGTAGCATTGTTAGAAAAAAATGAAAATTAGAAACAGTGTGCTATCATTAAAAAGAATGAAATACAGCTACCTGGAAAGAGAATCATGCTCTACTGGTTTTTCAAGATGGAAATTTGGAAGGTTGGAGAACATTATATATAGCATAAAACCTTTCTGCTTGGAAAAAAAAAGTATGTATACATACATATGTGTGCTTGTAGGTGTGTATCCATTTTTAAAAATCACATCAAGCCTACAACTATTATCTGTAACAGGGAAAAGGAGGACTTTCATTTTAAATTATATGTAGTTTAATTTTGTTTTTTAGCAAATATGAATTAATGATGGGTGATGTTAAGGAATGGCCAGAAAATATTCCTAAATGTCAGCAGTCATGTTAAAAACAAATTTTCTGCTGTTTCTGAAGAGGCATTTTCTGTTGTACTGAGTTTCATGGGCTTCAGGCCTATTTAGGTTTTTGGGTGGCATCTTTGCCAATAACATTTTCTCTTTATTCTGTGTTTTCTTCTTCCATTATCCCAACATCAATATGTATCTGCCAAGTCCTAAGGCTTTTTGCTGCTTAATTATCTACCTCACTTCCTTCTGTCATTTGACCAGCTAGGGGCTGTATTCTCCTGTAACTTTCATGTAAATCTCAAGGCCCATTCCTAATGCCATATTCTGCATTTGATGGCC